CCCAAGTTCAAGCCATTCTCCCACCTCAGTCTCCTAAATAGCTGGGACTACTGGCATGCGCCACCATGCCTGACTAGTTTTTTGTATTTTTGGTAGCGGTGGGGTCTTGCTATATTGCCTAATTTTTGTATTTTTGGTGAAGACAAGGTTTCGCCATGTTGGCCACTTGAAGTCCTGAGCTCAAGTGATCCACCCGCCATGACCTCCCAAGTGCTAGTATTATGGGTATGAGCCACCGTGCCTGACCAAAAGCAATTCTTCAGATTGTTTTTGCCAGCATTTGCTTACTTGAAATAGCTTTCACATTTATTTTTCTTATAAATCCCTTGTTGATCAGACCATGTAACATCCAAAGCAAAATTTCATTGAAGTATCCGTTAAAATAAAGTATCCATTAAAATAAAGTACAATACACTAAATTATTTTGACCTTTGTAGTAGTGTAGTGTTAAGTTATATATATTTTAATATGCATACTACCAAGTAAAGTTTCAGGGACAACATGTTGTAGAACAGTGGCTCTCAAACAGCATCAGTATCACCTGAAGACCTTGTTGAATATACATTGTTGACAGAGAGGGAAAAACACAGTGAATCATGCCTGTAATTCCAGTACTTTGGGAGACCGAGGCAGGAGAATCACTTGAACCCAGGAGTTCAAGACCAGGTTGGGCAACACAGTAAGACCCCTGTCTATTAGAAACAAAACAAAACCTTGATTGCAAGCACCACCCTAGAATTTCTGATTCAGTAGGCCTGGGGGTAGGGGTGGTGGGCCTGGGAATTTGCCTTTCTAACAAGTGACCAGGTAATGCCCCAGCTGCTGGTCCCAGGACCATACTTTGCAAATAATTACTCTGAGAAGAACACTAACTTTGACGTTGGATTCCTTCTGTTCCTCATTAGTGCATTTATTTGGGGGAAACTATTCAATATGATAGATCCGCATTTACTTAGCTATGAAGTGGAGGTTAATGCAAACTGCCTGGGACTGTGAGAAAAGAGAAACTATAGTTGAAACACCCAACCCAGCATGCCTGGGTGCTTGAAAAATGCTGACTCCCATGGTCAGTCCTCCCCCCACTCATCTCAGCTATAAAATGAGGAGCGAAATTCAGTATCCTTTAAGATTCCTCTCAGGTGTAAAATACTGTGATTCTAAAAGTTTTGTAGTTCAAGAGACAATGCCTGGTCTTGAATTCCTGACCTCAAACACCCACGCGTACTTAGTGCTTTATAAAGAGTGGTAATAACAATGACACCACATAGACCTTAGTTTTGTTTTTGCTTTTGTTAGGGATTAGCATCTTGACTCCTTAAAATTTTTCAGATTTATAAAGTAGCATTTAAGAAGTTGTATTACATTTGAGTGCAATTTGAATCCATGGCAGTTTTATGGAGGCCAAGTATATCAAATGAATAGGCTAATTTCCCTGAGTTGCTGGCCTTATTAGTTTCCACTAAGTTGCTCCCTGATTACTCAATGCATGTTCAAAATATGTAGTTTTCATCACCTGCTTGATTTTCAGACAGCATCAAATTAGTTGCAAAATAAATCCAAGCTAAAATTGTGAGCATATGATTAATTTAATATAGCACGTAATTATCCAGTATTTTATTTTTTAGGTTTTTTTAAGACAGAGTCTCGCACCGTCTCCCAGCAGTCCAGTGGTCTGATCTCGGCTCGCTGCAACCTCCACCTCCCAGGTTCAAGTGATTCTCCTGCCTCAGCCTCCTGAGTAGCTAGGATTATAGGCATGCACCACCACACACCCAGCTAATTTTTTTTGTATTTATAGTAGAGATGGGGTTTCATCATGTTGGCCCAGCTGGTCTTGAACTAAACCACTTCAGCCTCCCAAAATGCTGGGATTACAGGTGTGAGCCACTGTGCCTGGCTATCCAGTATTTTATTTAAAAGTTGTCACTAGGGTGTTCACTATTGTGAATTTATAATAAAAGTGGGGGATGCTAAAAGCACCAGGCTAAAATACTACTAGGTTTTCTCATCTTTTAATTCCGTTTTGTTGGAAAAAATAATCACAACCAGGGTTCTTTTGCCTTTCCCCAGCCATCTAGACTGGTCTACTGTAATGTCAGAAAGATTGTATACAATAAAAAGTGTAGCTAGTTGATTGGGATTTGGAAAAATTGAATCAAGCATTTGCATTTATCCAGAATGGTCTTAAACTGTTGACTGTGGGGTGCCCACAGGATGAACACTAGTGGCGTGGGTGGGAGGACTTTCATTGGGTACTGCAATTGCATTTGAAAGATATATTTTCCAAAATCTGAGCAGAGAGAGGCTAGGAGGAATGCAGACAGGACATTGACAATGCTAATTCCCTTTACTAGTAGAACATGGAATCTCTGATAATGATTTTCAAAAATAAATGCCAGGATACATTGTAGTATAAAGGTTCAACTAATATAATTTAAAGTGAGTCTTTATATTCAGGCCAGGCATGGTGACTCACATCTGTAATCCCAGCAGTTTGGGAGTCCGAGGCGGGTGGATCACCTGAGATCAGGAGTTCAAAACCAGTCTGACCAACATGGCGAAACCCCATTTCTACTAAAAAATGCGAAAAAATTAGCCAGGCGTGGTGGTGCACACCTGTAGTCCCAGCTACTTGGGAGGTTGAGGCAGGAGAATCGCTTGAACCCAGGAGGCAAACACTGCAGTGAGCTGAGATTGCACCACTGCACTCTATCTTGGGCAACAGAGTGAGTGAGACCCTGTCTCAAAAAAATTAAAAAATAAAAAAGTGAGTCTTCATATTCAAATTAGCATATGAGGTTAGGCAACAATTCTTGTGTGGGACCAGGTATATTTAATTTGCTTTTCTTTGTAGTCAGCATAGTAAATCCTTGTAAAGGTTTGTTTTATATACAATTTTATAGTATATTCTGGATTCCCTTTGGCAACTAAAGCTGAAATTATATCGTGCCAGCATACTGTGATTTGTATATTTATATAAGACAAGATTGCAGCATTCTGATCCAGTTGCAGCATTTTAATTTTATCTGATAGGTCTGTATTAAGTAATAAGTAGCTATGTGCAAATATTAAGTCAACTTAATTACCAGACCCAGAAGGCCAGAGGTAATCAAAGAGTACTTTAGGAAGATGAAATATTTATAATGAGTTATGGAAACAATGTTTTATCTTGGCTGTAATTTAATGCAGATTTTTTTTACCTCAATTTTATTGCAAAACTTGATAATTTTATCCCTCCATCTATTTAATATTTAATATTTTCAGATTCTAGAGTATTTAAAATTTAAACACAATATTAAAATTAATTATAATTTCTACTTATGTTAATAGTTATGATTTAGGACCAAAACTATCCTGGTTTTGTCTGCAACTTGAAACATTGTATATTTTAAACTGTATAATTTGGGAACATTATCTTATAGACTGTGAATAACCAAATATAAAATTTGTGAATTTTTTAATGCTTTATTTGTGTAAAATCATTTGTATATTCTATTTATAGTATGCATTTTCTAGCTCATTGAAAGCACATAAAAAGTCAAATCTATCCTTATACAAATATTTGATTTCTAGTTTCCTTTTATTAAAACATTTTCACTCATTCATAATTTCACACTGCAATCTCTAAGACATATCTTGGGTATTTGATAAGGTAGGTCTTTTGGTGGAGCACATTCATTCAGCTTTGGAGACCAAATGCACTGAGTTGCATCTTATGCATGGTAAGGTCTAAAGCCAACAGAAAAGGTGAAATTTTTGAATAATCAAATTGCCCTTGGGAGGGTCTTGTGTAAGAGATCTACATTCCATCTCATGATAAGTCCCTTCCATTGATCTTTTCCTCCAGAACTGGCATAGAAATTAGCAACAGCGGAAAGCCAATGCTATCCCTAGGACGGTGGGGTGGAGGGAGGAAGCCGTCACAAAGCTCAAGGCCAGGGTCACTCAGAGGACGCAGAACCCCCACTGCAGAGCACGGGTTCCTTCTGGGTGCTGCAGCTGGAGGCAAAGAAGGTAGGAAAGAAATACTCGCTTTTCTTTTCTTTTTGCCACTGACTCCCATTGACAAGACCTGACTGGAAGCCAGCTGGCACAGGAGCTTGGGAGATGTATCCATCTGGTGTCAATGCCCCTGACTTAGAGCAGAGCAGCAGATCTCAGGTCAAGCAGGCTCGAATGGGCATGGGTGCTAAGTAGCTGCCTTGCACTGGGGACCATATTATGTGGACAACACTTACCTTTCAACAATAGAATCACAGCCTGTGAAGATGTCATCATACAAGAAATATTCTGGAACCAAGATCACCTTTATCCATCTGAGGTGTACTCCAGAAAGCAGAATTAGGGGAAAGTGCCTGCCCTGGACTTGTATTTCGAATTCCATCCCTCCTCTTCCTCTACTTATTCCCCTTTCCCTTTTTCTTACCCCAAGCTGGGCTAAAGGGAAATGTGAAGAACAATTAAAACCATACAAATATAAAACATCAAAAATATTTTTCATTGACAAAAGATATGAATGGAAGCATTCAGCATAGTGTATTCACAGAAGTGTTGGGAAAGAGAAAGTAAAGAATAATTTCTTAAATTTTTTTCTTGCAAGACTGAAAATAGAATCTTAAGGAGATGGTGTTCTTAAAGCCCTGCTCTGACTGCTTATAACTTTTCTTCATCCACTAATTACTTTGAAAAGTCACTTAGTCATTTGTCAGTACTAACCTTTAGAGATAAACATTTAAAATCAGTTCCCTAATCACAGCATCTTTTTTTCTTATTTGAGACGGAGTCTTGCCCTGTGTCCAGGCTGGAGTGTAGTGGCCCGATCTCGGTTCACTGCAATCTTCACCTATGTTCAAGTGATTCTCCTGCCTCAGCCTCCTGAGTAACTGGAACTACAGGCACGTGCCACCACACACAGCTAACTCTTGTATTTTTAGTAGAGACAGGGTTTCACCATGTTGGCCAGGATGGTCTCGATCTCGACCTCGTGATCCACCCACCTTGACCTCCCAAAGTGTTGGGATTACAGGTGTGAGCCACCACACCTGGCTCACAGCATCATTTTTCAAGGGTCTCTAGGGTGACCACGTGTCCTGGTTTGCCAAGGACAGTCCCAGTTTCCACCTGCTGTCCTGGTACAATCATGAATATTGTCCCTTTCAGTTTCAGAAGTGTCATAGTTTATACAGTAAATTACCTGACCACCCTAATATGCCCCATGTTTCTTGAATCTAGGCTGCTGATAAAATTCACATTTTCTGTCTCTCAGTCTAGTGTTCTTTACACTAAGCGTCCACAAAGGAAGCAATATTGGCCAACAATTAATCTTGGGTCTTTGGATTAGGACGTTAAGAGTCCTACCTTCAGAGCATTTTCCTTCTGGAGTGGACTTTGCACAAATGGTAGGGTGATTTGTGGAGTCAGTGAAGAACCAGGCTAACCCAGCTTGTTTTACTGGCCCAAATTTTTCTTCCCAGAGCCATAAACCAGTTATTACCAGGAAACAAAGGCGAACAAGCAAGTATTTCGTTTTAAATTGTTATTAAGGAGAAACATCTAGAATCAAATCTCACCACATAAACCCAAATCACCCCCAAAGTTAAGGGGATCTAAAATAATACAATGGATGCTGTTTTTATAAAGATTATGGGAAAGCCTTAACAGGTAAGTTGCTGTACCTTCACACGAAGAAAACAGCAGGTTATTATGCTTTTGTTAAAACAAGTGACCAACTACTACATCATCTCTAAATCATTCCAGAATTAAGATAAGTCCTAAAAAAAAAATGTGACTCTGATGAGTGCATTTTAGATTTGCTTGAATGAGGGAGCAGTTATTACTTGCTGCTAAAATGCTCTGGAAACATTTGGTGCATACTCCAAAAGAATGCAAATAGGCCTAAGGAGGGAATGATGCATAATATGAACACTGGCAAAGGGCCTTACAAGAATGTACGCTGTGGAGAATGTGACCAGTGCTTTACAAACCATCAGTTCATAAAGTTGGGTACATGTGATGGAAAGAAAAAGACTTGCCTTGACCAACAGCATCAGTCCAGCTGCACTAAACTCGATGTGAAAAAAATCCAGAAGTTTAAGAGTGCTTTGAAGCCCTTCAACAATCAAAATGAGAGAATGTTAATGAGATCCTTTTTTCTGTCCAGTACATTTAATTCAGGAGACCTATTAACCCTATGTTCTTGAATAGTGATTGCGAATCAACCACTGAGTCTTCAGTGTACTTGTATGTCCTATAACCTGAATTTTTGAGTCAGATACTTTTAACATTCATTTTAGATGGATGATACAAGCATACCTACAGGAAACTATATCTTAATTCAAGTTCTGCTCAGTACTAGTGGCCCAGAAGATAAACTTAACGGGTGTTCCAAAATGAAACACAAAAATAAAAGCTAATTCTAGGATGGAACAACTTGGGAAACATGTTCATATGTTTCCTGTAGCAGTAAAACAGGACTCTTCACTGCAGCATTGTGTGAAGCATGCAATATATATATATATAAATAAAGGGGATTTTAAAGAGGATGAGAGGGTTTAAGAGAGGATGTGGCCTAATTTTCAGGTTTCTTCATGCTCGTTTGATCACTGATTCCTCACACTCCCCCACCACATAAGTCCTGGCTTTTTTGCTAACCATCTATTCTTATATGCAGAGACACTTCCATTCCGTAGAATACAGTTTAATACAGAAAATGCTGGCCAAAAGGACTTACAAAAGGTTGGGAATCTTTATGTGTTTCTGTGTCATTTTGAGTTTTCGGTAAAAGAAGTGTTTTCCTTCCTGAGATAATGAAGAGGCCGAATAGATAATATGTTTTCCTAGGCACAGATAGCAGATTTGAAGTGCTCTGGCAAGCAACTTTGTGTCTCTAATATGTACATAGTACTTTTACCTTCAGCCTGTAGTAAAACATTACTCAGCAGAAGATTGATAAGCAGTTCAAAAATAATGTCTTCTGTCCTTTTAAATTAGATTCCCAAACCGGAAGAAGCTTTGCAATTACTGCCAAAATGTCTCAGAGGGCATTAGGTTAATCAAAGCTGGAGAGGACTGGAAAAAGAGGCAGCTGCTAGACACTGAGAAGCACTCCATTTGCTATGAGGTTTGTAGGGGCAGCACTTTGCTGTTGGGGCTTGGTAAGGGGATTTGTTTTAAAATTGGAATTATATTTTACTGGCTTTTAACCATAAATAGGGAAATCCATTTTTCCTACACCTAAGAATATATATAAGCTAATTTGGTCCATAATTAGAAAAATCATTGCGTTTAGCATATGGACTGTAACAATAGGAATCATAACTCATGAGTCGTATGATACATTGTTTCCCTCTGGTGAAGTTTTACTTTAAGATCTGTTGGGCATATCTGGGGAGAGAAAGAGATGAAGGTCAAGACATGCTTATTTTTACAGATGAGAGAGAGAGAGGCAAAGAGATTCATTAAACTTTGAGTTATACTTTATTTTTATTTATTTATTTTTTTAGATAGGTTCTTGCTCTGTCACCCAGGTTGGAGTGCAGTGGCACGATGTTGGCTCACTGCAACCTCCACCACCAGGGCTCAAGTGATTCTCCCACCTCAGCCTCCCAAGTTGCTGGGACTACACGTGCACACCACCGCACCTGGCTAATTTTTAGTAGAGAGGAGGTCTCGCTATGTTGCCCAAGCTGGTCTCGAACTCCTGGCCTCAAGCAATCTGCCTGCCTTGGCTTCCCAAAGCACTAGGATTACAGGTGTGAGCCACTGTGCCTGGCCTATATTTTATTCAGTAGGAATCTTTGCTATTTGCTATCATTTTTAATTCTTCTTGCATCTTAATTTTGCTTCCTCAATGAGTATGTTAAATGTTCTTTAAAACATTCCTTTAAAAATATCATAAATATATTAAACAGCAATGCTCTAATTGAATGTGCTAATTTGACAAATATTTGAGTGCTATTTGCACTACTATTTGCAAAGCTTCAGGGAATACATTGATGAGTAAGATAGTCTTTTTGTTTGTTTGAGGCAGAGTCTTGCTCCGTCTTCCAGGACAGCGGTGCGATCTTATCTCACTGCAACCTGGGCCTCCTGGGTTTCAAGTGATTCTCCTGCCTCAGCATCCCAAGAAACTTAGATTGAAGCACATTACCACGCCTGGATAATTTTTGTATTTTTAGTAGAGACAAAGTTTCATCATGTTGGCCAGTCTGGTCTCGAACTCCTGAGCTCAAGTGACCCGCCTGTCTCGGCCTCCCAACATGCAGGTACTACAGGCGTGAACCACTGTGCCTGGCCAATAAAATAGTGTTTAATCTCAAGGAGTTTATGATTTTTTTCCTCAGGGAGGTGATAAGAAAATATGTAAAAACAATAAACATAGGTTAAACAGTTGCCGTTATAGAGTATGGGTCAGGGGTGTTCCTAGGCCATCAAAGGCTTTTTACCAAGCTTTTCTAGCCTGTGGACCATGGGCTGCATGTGGCCCAACACAAACTCTCGTAAAAACATTATGAGAATTTTTTTATGTTTTTTTTTTTTTTTTTTTTTTTTTGGTGGTGGTGGTTTTGCTCACCAACTATCATTAGTGTATCTTATGTGTGACCCAAGACAGGTCTTCTTCTAGTGTGGCCCAGGGAAGCTGAAAGATCAAACACCCCTGCAGAGAGAAAGTAGCACTTGAGATGGACTTGAAGGTTGAAATTAAAGTTTGAGAGGTGTTGTTGACAGGCAAGAGATAGGAAGCAAATAACCGCATAGAGTTGGAGAAACTTGTTGGTGTTTGGGGAAAAGCAAGTAGTTCAGTTTGGCAGGAGTTGAATAAGTGTTAGGGAATAATGGGAAACAGAGTTAGAAAAGCAAGTTGTGAAATACTGTGCATCAGTCAGTTTAGGCAGTTAAACTGCAGTAACAAAGGACTCCAAATCACAGCAATACTACAAGCGTTATTTCTCCCTTACATTACATTTCCCTTGTGGGTATGTGTAGCTCTGTTTCATGGCTGTTTTGCTCTGGGCTCAGGCTGAAGAGGCAGCTTTGATCTGGGTTATCACTAGTTCTGGCCAAGGGAAAGAAAATATGGCAGAACTGCTCAATGGCTCTCATAGTGCATGCTTGACTGTGGCATATATTACTGCTGCTCACATTTCGTTGGCCAAAGCAAGTCACTTGACCATGCCTGCCATCCCTGGGAAAGGGGAAATATACTCCTCTTACAGGGAAGGACAACAAATAGGTAAAACAATTTACCAAAAACCTTGAAAGCCAGTGTGAGACTTTTGCATTTAAATCTTTAGATGATCTGGAGCCATGGCAAGTTTCTGGACAAGATCATATGGTTTAGTAAAGCAAACAAAAACGTCAGGGTTGTTTTTATATTGTGTGTGTGTTTGTGTGTATGTGTATGCATGTACATAAGAATTCTTTAGGGTATTTGTTATAAAGGCAGTTTCCAGGGTTCCAGAAGGTCTGATTCAGGAAGCCCAGGAATCTGCACCGTAGCAAGCAGCCAAGTGGAGCGCATGTAAATTGTCCACAGACCTCATTTGAAAAACCCCTGGAACAAGGAATGAATGGAGAGCGCTCAGGCAAGTGCAGGTGAGACTGGGCAGTAGTGAGGGAATGGCAGGTAGGTCGTGAGTGCAGAAGCCCAGGTGCAATGTGGTCACATGGTAAATGGCCAGTACGGAGGCAGACAGATGCAGAGAGAACAGACAGAACTAGAATTACTGAAGGAGGGAGGCTATGGTGCAAACAGCAGGGAAACAGGATAGTGGAAGGGGCAAATCTTAGGAGCTGAGATTAGGAATATGAGGGGAATCTTGATCTTCCCTGAGAAGGAGGAAGTAAGCCTAGCTGATATCAGAAAAAGCTGAGAACTTGAGGAGAGCAGAGGCAATAAACAGGAAGTCGCAGGAAACTCAATGCTTGTAAGCAGCTACTGAAAACAGTGTTGACTAAAAGCGACCACATAAATTTGATTTTGCATTGGGCCAGCAGAGGGCGCTACAGTAACACATATGCTGATGTCTGGGCTCGGCCGCCCAAACTGAGTAATGGCTGCTCCTGTCCAATAGGATTATTAACCCGACCTGCAGTGCAGAATTTTGGGCGCTTCATTTATTACTTTTATAGCCATGAACATTTTTAGAAGGAACTTTTCAGGTTTCTATTTAATTATTAAGGAATCTAGGGCGGTTTTTTGAACTGCCAATTCCTACAGTCAAAAAGAAATTAATTCCACGGAGTTTAAGGGAATTATTACCCATTTATTGACTTCACTTGAGGCATAGAGTGGAGATTAGGACAGAGAGGAGAAAAGACCCAGAAGAGAGAACAGTGCATTTGTAGCATGACTTCTGGGAGTGTAATTGCTGAGCCCCAGGGGTTGGGAATCTTACTTTTTTTTTTTTTTTTTNGTGCAGTGGTGCGATCTTAGCTCACTGCAACCTCTGCCTCTTGGGTTCAAGCAATTCTTCTGCCTCAGCCTCCTGAGTAGCAGGGATTACAGGCCAGTACTCAGGAGGTAGCATGGTATCACCATACCATGCTAATTTTTGTGTTTTTTAGTAGAGATGGGGTTTCACCGTGTTGGCCAGGCTGGCCTCAAACTCCCGACTTCAAATGATCCGCTGGCCTCGACCTCCCAAAGTGCTGGAATTACAAGCATGAGCCACTGGCCCAGTCAATTTTTATGACCAGATAATATTCCATTGCATGGACAAACAACATTTTAAAAATCTCTTCACTAGTTGTTGGGTGTTTGGGTTGTTTCTACATTTTGGCTATTATGAATAGTACTGCTGTGAATGTTTGTGTTCAAGTTTTTGTGTTTTTATTTTTCTTGGATATATACCTGGGAGTAGAATTGCTGGGTCGAATGGTAACTCAGTATTTAATGTTTTGAGGAACTGCCCAACTGTTTTCTGCAGTGGCTGTGCCATTTTTCCTTTCCACCGGCAATGTATAAGTGTTTCAGTTTCTCCACATCCTCACCCACATTTGTTATGTTCTGTTTTTTAGGGGCTTTCTTGTTTTCATACGGCCATACTAATAAGTGGAAGTGGTATATCCCTGTGGTTTTTTTTTGTTTTGTTTTTATGGTCGATGCTTGAGATGGTTACTTTTGTGTGTCAACTTGACTGGGTGATGGGATACTCAGCTGGTTGGTTAAACCTTATTTCTGGGTACGTTTGTGAGAGTATTCCTCGAAAAGATTAACATTTGAATGGTTAGACTGAGTAAAGAAGATGGCCAATGTGGGTGGGCATTATCAGATCTACCAAGGGCCTGAATAAAACAAGAAAGCAGAGGAAGGTTGAATTAACTGCTTGACTACTGAGGTGGGGCAGCAATCTTCTTCAGCCCTCACCACTCCTGGTTCTCAGGCCTTAAGACCTGGACTAGAATCTACACCATTGATTCTCCACCCCTCAGACTTTCAGACTACGCCACAGGCTTTCCTAGGTTTCCAGTTCACAGGTGGTTCACATCAGGACTTAGCTTCCATAATCCTGTGAGCCAATCAGTATCTTTTTAATTTTATTTTAAGTTCTGGGATACATATGCAGAACATGCAGGTTTGCTACCTAGGCATACACGTGCCATGGTAGTTTGCTGCACCTATCAACCTGTCATCTAGGTTTTAAGCCCCACATGCATTAGGTATTTGCCCTAATGCTCTCTCTCCCTTTGTCCCCACCCCTTGACAGGCCCCAGTGTGTGATGTTCCCTTCCCTGTGTCCATGTGTTCTCACTGTTCAACCCCACTCATGAGCGAGAACATTGATGTTTGGTTTTCTGTTCCTGTGTTAGTTTGCTGAGAATGATGGCTTCTAGCTTCATCCATGTCTCTGCAAAGGGCATGAACTAATTCTTTTTTTATGGCTATATAGTATTCAATGGTGTATATGTGCCACATTTTCTTTATCTGGTCTATCATTGATGGGCATTTGGATTGGTTCCAAGCCTTTGCTATTGTAAATAGTGCTGCAGTAAACATACTTGTCCATATGTCTTTACAGTAGAATAATTTATATTCCTTTGGGTATATACACAGTAATGGAATTTCTGGGTCAGATGGTATTTCTGGTTCTAGATGAGCCAATGGTTATCTTATAAATAAACAAGTAAACAAACAAATCCTACTGGTTCTGTTCTGCTGGAGAACCCTGACTAATCCAATGCTTTATTTTTTTTATTTATTTACTGTGGTAAAATATACAGCACATAAAAGTTATAATTTTAGCCTTTTGTTGTTGCTGTTGTGAGACAACACTCTTGCCCAGGCTGGAGGTCAGTGGTGCAGTCACAGCTCACTGCAGCCTCAACTTCCCAGGCTCAAGTGATCCTGCCACCTCAGCCTTCCAAGTAGCTGGGACTACTGGCACGTACCATTACACCCAGCTAATTTTTTATTTTTTGTAGAGCTAGGTTCTTGCTATGTTGCCCAGGCTGGTCTTGAACTCCTGGGCTCAAGGGATCCTTTCATTTTGGCCTCCAAAAGGGCTAGAATTACAGGTATCAGCCACTGCATCTGGCCTGTTTTAAGCATTTGTAATTGTACAGGTCAGTGGCCTTCATTACATTCACATTGTTTACATCATGGTGGTTTTGGTTCGCATTTCCCTGAGGATTAATTATGTTGGGCATCTTTTTCTTGGGCTTGCTGGCCATTTGTATATCTTCCTTGGAGAAATGTCTGTTTGAGATCTTTGCTCATGTTTGATTTGGGTTGTGTTCTTATTGTTGAGTTGTAACTATTCTTTATATATTCTAGATACTTGCCTCATTTGTAACTGCAGGATTTTAGTTTATGGAGGTGACTGAATGATGACGCAGAGAGGTCAACACTAGTGAAAGAAGAGGTTTCTTACTTACATTTCCTGAGAGGAGGGGACATGCCACAACACACAGGGTCACAGTGGAAGCACCAGGATGGTCAAGAGGTAAAAGATGAGTGAGAAGGCAGGGGCCAGAGCCCTTATTGGGGTTTCTGCAGGAAAGGCAAGGCAGGACAGGGCTATCAGTTTAGGACTGGCTACTCTGAATAACATTGGTGAGCTTGGGCTATAGGGGTGGTCTCTAGTTGCCTGGAACCTGGCCTTGGGATGATTTAGGATAAGGAAAATATTAGTTTTGTTTGCAAGAGAGATATATAGAAGGCAGGTAGAGGCACAGACTTGAATCAGCCTGTCTGTGCATGAAAGGAGAATTCCAGGCAAGTTGAATTCCAATTATGTATATATTTGTCCAGTTGTTTGGTAATACATTTCCAAGCTTTTAGAAACAGTGAATCACATGTGGAGGGGAACAACTCTCCCTCACTTGCCTCCTGCACCCAGGCTTGCCTCGTTGTGGGAAGGCACCATCCTTGTGGGGGAATGCCCCTCCTTGAAGGAGAGGTTACTAGATGCCAAATAGACATAAAGAATCTAAGGCCAGGCATGGTGGCTCACACCTGTAATCCCAGCACTTTGGGAGGCCAAGGCATGTGAATCACTTGAGGTCAGGAGTTCGAGACCAGTCTGGCCAAAATGGAGAAACCCTGTCTCTACTAAAAATACAGACACTAGCTGGGCGTGGTTGTGTGCACCTGTAATCCCAGCTACTTGGGAGGCTGAAGCAGGAGAATCACTTGAACCTGGGAGGCAGAGGTTGTGGTGAGCCGAGATCATGCCACTGCACTGCAGCCTGGGTAACAGAATGAGATTCCATCTAAAAAAAAAAAAAAAAAAAAAAAAATCTAAGAAACCACAGGACAATATTAGACAGGCCCTGAATAGATATATATAGTTGGCAAACATATTCTCCCATTCTGTGGGCTATCATTTCACTTTTTTGATAGAGTTTTTCAATGTTTAAAAGTTTTAAATTTTGATGAAATTTATTTCATCTATGTTTTTCTCTTGTTGCTTGGGCTTCTGACACACTGTGAGGGAGTCGGCATTCTCAGAACAAGGAATCCATTGCCAAGTCTAAGATCATAAGAATTTATCCCTATGTATTCTCCTGAGAGTTTTATAATTTGGCTCTTACATTTAGGTCTTTGCTTCATTTTGAGTTAATTTTTTATATGGTATGAGGTAAGGATATATCTTTAATTTTTTTTTTTATGTTATAAACTGATAAGTCAAAGACTACAAAAGACAACTTGGTGATATTTATTACAAATGTATATCCCTCCCAATTCTATTTCTAGGAATGTATTCTGTAGACACAGGCAAAAGATATATGTATAAGGTAATTCACTGCAACATTCTTTTTTTTTTTTAATAATAGTAAAGCATTGTAAACAGTCTACATGTCCCTCAATAGAGGCTTTGAAATAAATTGTGCAACAGATAAAATTCTATAGGGCTACAAAGAAAATGAATTTCTATATCTGCTGCTTTGGAAAGCTCTCCAGAAAATATTGTTCAATGAAAAGAAAAAGTTTAGATCAGATTTTGTGTGCATGTGTGTGTGAAACATTTGGGACAATAAAAATCTATATGCACACTTATTTTTGAAGTTTTTAATTTTTTTTTTTTTTTTTTTTAGATTAGACAGAGTCTTGCTCTGTTTGACCAAGCTAGAGTGCAGTGGTACGATCTCGGCTCGCTGCACCTCTGCCTCCCGGGTTCAAGTGATTCTCTGGCCTCAGCCTCCTGAGTAGCTGGGATTACAGGAGCACGCCACCACATCCAGCTAATTTTTGTATTTTTAGAAGAGACGAGGTTTCACTGTGTTGGTCAGGCTGGTCTTGAACTCCTGACCTCAAATGATCTGCCCAGCTCAGCCTCCCAAAGTGCTGTGATTATAGGCATGAGCCACCACACCTGGCCTAAGTTTAAAAAAAAATTAATTAAAAAATAATTGCATGTATTTATGGTATACAACATGATGTTTTGATACACATATATGCTGGGGAATGATACAACCAGGCTAATTAGCATATCCATCCCCTCAAATAATTACCATTTCTTTGTGGTGAGAACATTTAAAATTCTCTCCTTCAGGTCTTTTGAAATACACAATCCATTAGTATTAACTATAGTCACCATGCAGTGCAATAGAACACCAGAACTTAATCCTTCTATCTGATGATAACTTTGTACCCATTGACCAACCTCTCCCCTTTCCCTGCCCGACCCCCCCTCCAGCTTCTGGTCACCATCATTCTACTCTCTACTTCTGTGAGCTTGACCGTTTTAGATTCCACATGTAAGTGAGGTCATGCAGAATCTGCCTCACTGTATATGCACATGTCTGATGTACTAGTAAAGAAGCTGTGCAAGGATTTGTAAGACACCAAGGATGGGGCATTCCCACAGTGAGGCAGGTGCTGGGTGCAGGAGGTAAGTGAAATAGCGTTGTTCCGGTCCACACTCGATTCACTGTTTCCAAAAACATGGAAATGCATTACCAAACAATTGGACAAATATATGTTAAAATTTAAAAAGAAACTTCTGTGGAAAAGAAAGGAGCAATCAGGATAAGACAGCCACAATGTTATGGGTGTTGCACGTATAATATTTTGTTTCTGTTGAAGCTCCATGTTTTCTTAATCGGTTTTCTCATGTCTACTGATGTATTAAGTACAATCACACCAGAAATGGCTGAGGCTAGACTGTGGGCTGTGGCCCTGGAGCAGAGCAGTAAGCTGGTCCCAGGATGCCAAATAACAGCCCTGGCCTAGTCCACACAGTAAAGAGCAGATCTCACACGGGAAGGTTTACCATCAAGGATTCCAGACAGGAAGGCTGTTCTAGAACTCCTCTCACTTAAATAAAGAACACAAGCCCAAATGAATACATGGTTTTATTGTTTTACCAGTAAGGGTCTTGACACCAGATAACTTACTTACCTGTCCCTAGGCAACAGAAGGTAAGTGTCCTTGAGAAGAATATCCCTTGACAGGAAATTCACAACTGTCCTTGAGCCTGGAGAGATTGGACAGAAACCCACTCCCCTGGCTGTTCTGGAGAGGTTGCTCTTATCTTTATGAAGTCCTGAAGTTGTTTCTAGACATTCCCCTCCTGTCAAATGCTTATAAAAACAGTTGTGGCTAAAGCCTGTTTTTGCTGAAACAACACTCTCTTTATTAATAGAAATTGTCTATTGAAAATGTATTTTTCCTTTCTGGCTTCTGTGGTTAGCAGTGCAACACTAGCAAAACTGGTCCCAGACCTGTGAGTCTGAGACAGGAAATCTGCAAACCCACAGTGGTCACCATGTGTACTTTTCACTCTTTCTGTGTGTGCTAGACCAGAAGATCCGTGCTGGCACGCCGTTCTGACACAGGCTGTGAGAGAGTCGACATTCTCAGAGCAAATGCCACACGTGGAAGATGGAGGAGCGTCGTGTGAAGGAAGTAGGCCAAATTCCTTCTGTTTTTATCCTCCTTCCAGTATGAACCCTAAATATCTACTCCACAAGTGGGAAACTGTGATGGACCAAAGTCGTTAGAGAAGTGGTTGGGTAGCTGTGGGAGGGGGAGAAGATAATATTGGTATAATAAAATCAAATTTGAGGCCAGGCATGGTAGCTCACACCTGTAATCCCAGCATTTTGGCCTTGGGAGGCCAAGCTGGGTGAATCACTTGAGGTCAGGAGTTTGAGACCAGCCTGGCCAACATGGTGAAACCCTGTCTCTACAAAAAAATACAAAAATCAGCCAGGTGTGGTGGCGCCTCCCTTTAGTCGCAGCTACCATGGAGGCTAAGGTGGGAGAATGGCTTGAACCGAGGAGGCAGAGGTTGTAGTGAGCTAAGATTGTATCACTGTACTCCAGCCTAGGTGACAGAGTGAGACCCTGTCTCAAAAAACAAAACAAAAAAAGAAAAAAGAAAAACTAGAAAAAGAACTCCAATAAAAAGAAAAAAACCCGATTTTATAACTATAATAAAAAATACACTATAAATATAATAAAATGTCACGGAGTCTTTGTCTAACTGTGGAGAAAAAAAAATTGTCATCTAAAAGACAAATTCCAGAACCAAACACCAGAAAAGTTATCAACAAATGAATGGCTTCTCTAGAAGACAAAGAATGAGTGAGTCCAATTGTAACTAGAAGTGAAAGGAAAGTCGTCTATAGCGTGTTCTTTTTGTGGCATGCAGCAGTGAAGGCAAATTGGAAACTTTGAAGCCTTGGTTTGCTGCTGCAAAAATGGGAATGAGCTTTGGAGGAAAGTGAGGCATACAACCCTACTCTGTGGCTCCTGTCTTGTGGTTGGCGTGAGGCACCACATGCATCATTTCCACTTCAAATAAATTCAGATTGTTTGCTTTATTGTTTGAAAAATGCCCAGTTGTTAAACTTTTCTATTGGATCAGTTTTACCAACTGTATTCCATCCTTTGGGTTTGAAAACTTGGAGGCAATTTGACCACATTTCTTCATTCCACGTCTCCAGAAGTCACCAAAATAGTTTTTTTCTTTTATTTTTGCAGAAATCTTCAAAGAGAGATGAAAGGAACTTTACTTCTACCTTCCATTCATTGCTAGGGTCCTCTTATCTTTCATAAGAAACTACATCACCTTTTGATTAAAATCTCCAGAGATGTGAACTCACCTCCGCCAAATAGAAGTCCCGTATGTGGATAGCTTTCTGGTTTAACACATTTCCCTGTGTTTCACTATTTTGCTTTCCTAAGAGCTTGGTGTTGCCCCACTGAGCAAGGCTGACTCTTTCTTGTGAAGGCCCTTCAAATATGGGGGGTTAGTTATACTGTCTATCCTGTGAGATATTTCCAAGCTGAATCACACCTTTCCCCAGGATTGTGGCCCCATGTGCGATTCGGATCTTCAGACCACCAGTGTCCCCTGCAATCAGGCTTGCATATTGATGCTAGATTTACTGAAAAACAGCTTTACCTTTGCCAATCATTTGTTGAAAAATCAACAAAGTGTTCCTGTTATAGAAAAACACATTTCCTGCTAAGACATTTTTTTTCCGCTCCAACGGCTCTTTGATTGGCTTATAACCTGGGTCTCTATTTCTCAATAAAGCCATCTCCTCCTCTGATTAGGCAACCTTCACAGTGGTACCTCCATTTACTTTGCTCATCTCAGCTTCTCACCATATGCATCCTGGGGTTCCTCATATGGCAAGCTTTATGTTGCTTTCTCCAAAATCATAATTTTTTGGTAAGCTTAAATATCACCTTTTTCATAAAGCCTATCCTGAACAACATTAACCTCAATTATATGACATGTGTCTTGAATGTGTCTCATAAGTGAATGTCTTAGGTCAGCTTCCTCAGGAAACAAACTATGAAACAGAGATTTGCATGCAGGATGGTTATGGGGAGTAGTCTCAAATGCAAACCTGAGAGGAAGTAAAGGAAGGATTGGATACAGGGTAAATTTGAATTGTGATGTTGTTGCAACAGAAGCTTCAGCAAAGTCATGGAGCACCCGGAGCTGGGATTGCCTATTTAGGTGGGGAGGCCAGACCTTCTATTGCTGTATGGACCCATCACTGGATGTGGGCTGCCTTGTGTGAGAAGCAAAATCTTGAGCCAGAAGCTTTCTTTTGCAGAGAACAATTTCTGGGAAGGAACTAGCTGTAAGTTCTCAGCAAGCAATACACCCAGCAGCTGGGAAGATAAAGATGAGTGTCTCAGCTTTGAGGTGGAGTCTGGGTGGCAATCCTTAACATGAACAACATGCAGTTAAGAACAACCCAGCTTGTGCTTATCTGGATGTACAAGAACTTCAGGTGATTCTTTCGTCCCTCCTGGTAAGAACCACTGTTCTAGCCCTTCGGGTGACTCTATGGACCCATAGATGTTTGTGGATGTTCTTTACTATCTAGTATAGGACAGCATATTGAGAGGAGTCAGGTATAGATAGGTCAAAATAGTTGAAGAGGGTTAAAAATTAAAATGCCATGAATATTGTATGCAGTTTCGATATTTTTTTTTTTTTGCCCTACATTTAGGAAATTTCTGCAATTTGATTTTGAGAAAAATATTTAAATGTAACCCTCTAGATTCCAGGTTTTAATAGTATTCATACATGTGATATATTTAACAGCATATTATACACAGAAAAACTACACAGATCCTAAGTGTACAGCTTGATAAATTTTCACCTGGTAAATAAATCCATGTATCCAGCCTGCAGATCAAGAATGATAAGTGTCATCTGAACACCTTATCCAAGAAGTGTTCATGTACTCACTTGCAGGTTCCCTAACGACAGTGAAGAGTAGCATCTCTTTTGACTTCCTTCACCGTAGGTTAGTTTGCTCGCTCTTGATGTTCATGTGAATGAAATTATACAGTGTGTAACTTTCCCAAACTTGTGCCAACATTATGAATGTGAGTCATTCATGTTGTTATGCACAGTCGTAATCCATTCGTCCTCCACAGTGTATTTATTCTACTATAGATGGACATTTGGTTGTTTCAAGTTTGGGGATATTATGATTAGTGAGACTATGGACATTCTTGTGCCTATCATTTAGTGAATATGTATATGCACTTCTGTTGGTTATATATCTAGGAATAGAATTGTTGAACTGTACATATAGAAATGTTCCTTGACTTACAATGGAATTATGTCCCAATAAACCCATCGTAAGTTGAAAACATTATTAAATTGAAAATGCATTTAAAATACCTAACCTACAGAACACCAAAGCCTAGCCTAGCCTATCTTAAATGTGTTCAGAAAGCCTTACATCAGCCTACAGCATGGCAAAATCATTGGCAGTGCACTTTGCCACATAGTATCAGTCGGTTGTCCTCATGATTGTGTGACTGACTGGGAGCTGTTGCTCACTACACTGCCCAGCATCATGAGAGAGCACTGTCATGTATATTGCTAGCCCAGGAAAATATCAAAATTCAAAGTATGACCCCGGCTGGGTGCAGATCATACCTATAATCCCAGCAGTTTTGGAGGCCCAGGTGGGCAGATCACCAGAGGTCAGAAGTTCAAGAACAGCCTGGCCAACCTGGAGAAACCCCATCTCTACTAAAAATCTGAAAATTAGCCTGGCATGGTGGCAGGTGCCTGTAATCCCAGCTACTTGGGAGGCTAAGGCAGGAGGATCACTTGAACCCAGTAGACAGAGGTTGCAGTGAGCTGAGATCATGCCATTGCACTCTAGCCTGGGTGACAGAGCAAGACTCCATCTTAAATAAAACAAAATATGCCTTCTACTGTATGTGTATAACTTTTGCACTATCGTAAAGTTTAAAAATCATAAGTTGAATCATCATAAGTCAAGGATCATCTGCACATATGTTTAGCTTTACTAGATACTGTCAAAACAGCTTTCCAAAGTGGTGGTACCAGTTTACCTGCCCACCAGAAGAGTGTGAGAGTTCCAATTGCTTCACAGCCTTGCAAACGTCTGCTTTCATCAGTCTCTTTCATTTCAGCTATTTAGTAGTATTACGTTGTGGTTTTAATTTGAATTTCTCTCATGGCTAATGAAGCTGAACTTTCTTTTAATGTGTATTGAGCATTTCCTCCAAAAGACAGTTTAACTCTTTTTTTTTTTTTTTTTTTTTGAGGCAGGGTCTAGCCCTGTTGCCCAGGCTGGAGTGCAGTGGTGCAATCATGGCTCACTGCATCTTCAGCCTCCTGGGCTCCATATGATCCTCCCACCTCAGCCTCCTGGGTAGCTGGGACTACAGGCGTGCACCACCACACCTGGCTAATTTTTGTATTTTTTGTAGACACAGGGTTTTTCCATGTTACCCAGACTAGTCTTGAACTCCTGGGCTCAAGCGACCCACCTCAGCTTCCCCAAATGCTGAGATTACAGGAGTGGGCCAATAGACCTGGCCTGCTTAACTCTTTTGTCCATTTTTCTGTTGGGCTGTCTGAGCTGAGCAAAGGCTTTTTTGTGATATGATGTCATTGATTTATTAACATGTGAAGATGCTCATGATACAGGAATAGAAAGTAAGTATTATAATGGTTATAACATGGCTTGCTTAATATAATCATATTGTCTTAGTCCATTTTCTATTGCTGTAACAAAATACCTCAGACTGGGTAACTTATAAAGAAAAGTAAGTTTTTCATCTCATGGTTCTGGAGGCTGGGAAATCTAAGAGCATGATGTTGGCATCTGGTGAGGCCTCCTTGCTGTGTCATAACGTGGCAGAGGGCATCATTGTGCATATCAGCTCAAGTCTCTTCTAATAAAGCCACCAGTCCCATCATGGGGGCCCCGCCTGATAACCTTATCTAATTCTAATTACCTCCCAAGGGCCCCACCTCCAATCAACATATACATTTGGGAATTAAGTTTCCAATACATGAAATTTGGGGGACACATTCAAATCTTACATATTTTTATTTATAATTATATAAACTTGAGGGATAATACACCAAAATATGATCCATAACTCTCTCTGGCTGGGAAATCATGAATAGTTTTAACTTTCTACTTTCTAGCTACCCTTATTTGTTTTTGTCTTCATTTGTTTTAATAACAAGCATGGATTACTTTTACAGTCTGGAAAAACAATAAAGCTGGTTTTATTTTGAAACAAACAATCAAAACTCAAAATGAAACAAAACCTTCTCAGCATGTGCTGGTTTGGCTAAGCCATCAGCCTTGTCCCATCTGGAACACCAAGAGACACTGAGGAAAAGTGTCCTCTCTGGGCATGTTTTGAAAGTTTGAGTTAGGAGAAGAGAGTGTAAAAATGAGGAATTGCTTTTATTGCACTACAGCCATGTGCTCCCTTCCACCCTGCTGAGCCTGGAAGATGATCAGGGCCATAAAGACTGGCTAATTACTTAAATTGCCTCTTCTTTGTAGGAGCAAACTTTCCCAGTGCCATTGACTGGGCTTATTTGGTCTGATGACTGGAGTCCTGCTGTTAGCTAGGATGAGGGAAGTGCATTATTACAGTGTGTAAGTATAATGATTTTGTTTACATTTCACAAGACAAACAGGGTGACTTGCAGTCTTATGTAACCTGGATTTCTACCAGAATCAGGGCTAGAAAACACATGATACTTCCCTCTGTTTCCCATTTTGTTCCATTTGATCCTAACAACCCATAAACCGAAAACAAAATATGAAATAACCCTACCCATTAATATACAGCTTCTAAAAATTTTTGAAACAATTTTAAATTTATATAAAAGTTGCAAGTGTAGTACAAAGAACATTTACCCCCGGACCACTTGAGATGAAATTGTCCACGTGATTCTTCATCACTCCAAATACTTTAATATTTTCTGCAAAGAGGAGCATTCTCTTACATCATGAGGATACAACCACTAAAATTGGGAAATTGATGCTGAAACATTGATACCATCCAAATTCAAATTTCTTCAGCTCTCCCATATAATGTCTCAAGCAAAAAAAATCTGGTTCAGAAGTATGCATTGCATTAAATAACTGAGTTTTTGATGACTGTGTTGAAAACTTTCATCTCTTTAAAATCTGAGCAGTCCTTGGCCAGGCCTTCTTGTCTCCATCCCAGGAAGACTTCCTCCCTCTCCTCTACCACCCACAGGAAGGTGCTATGGATGCTTGGTCTTGAGAGGCACAGATATAGGAAGAGTGCTAATGTTGTAATAAAGGAGGGCAGGCTTGGCATGGGGCATAGGGTGAAGACAGGAATGTGAGCCAGAGAATCCTCCTGTGATGGGATAGCACCCAGGAAATGTCAACTAAGCCCCATGTAAAATTCTCCATCTCTGCCTTTTAATTTTTTCTCCGTATCTCTTTTTATCTTTCTTTTTCCTTTTCCTTCTACTTGCTTCTTCATCCCCTTCTCTTCATTTTCAAACTCTTACATCATTCTCCTATACTCTTCTGTTTTCTTATAAATTTATTTTATTTTTATTTTTATTTTTTTGGAGTTTTGCTCTTGTTGCCCAGGTTGGAATGCAGTGGCATGATCTCAGCTCACTGCAACCTCCACCTCCTGGGTTCCAGTGATTCTCCTGACTTGGCCTCCTGAATAGCTGGGATTACAGGCACCCACCACCATGCCCAGCTAACTTTTTGTATTTTTACTAGAGATGGGGTTTCATCGTTTTGGCCAAGCTGGTCTCAAACTCCTGACCTCAGGTGATCCACCAGCCTTGGCCTCCCAAAGTGCAGGGCTTATAGGTATGAGCCACCACACCTGGCCTCCATTTACCACAGCTACAAAAAATTTTCCCAGGAATACATCGAAGCAGGGAAGAGGAAGTTCTCTACAAGGAGAACTACAAAACACGACTGAAATAAATCATAGGTGCCACAAACAAATGGAAAAGCATTCCAAGTTCATGGATTAGAATTAATGTCTTTTTTTTTGGCAGGGGAGGGGACAAAGTCTCGCTCTGTCATCCAAGCCTCTGCCTTCCAGGTTTAGGTGATTCTCGTGTTTCTTGAGTTGCTGGGATTATAGGTGTGCACCACCACACCCAAATAATTTTTGTATTTTTAGTAGAGGCAAGGTTTCACAATGTTGGCCAGCCTGATCTCGAACTCCTGAGCTCAAGTGATCTGCATGCCTTAGCCTCCCAAACTGCTGAGATTATAGGCATGCACCACCATGCCCAGCCAGTAAACTGATTTTTGATAAAGATGCCAACAACACAAAATGTGTAAAAGACAGTCTTTTTAATAAATGGTGTTGGGAAAACTGGATAGCTTAAATGTAAGCCCCCAAAACTATGACATTGTTAGAAGAAAACATAGGGCAAAAGCTCTGTGACATTGATCTGGGCAATAATTTTCCACAAAAGCACAGACAAAAACTGGACAAACAGGATTACATCAAACTTAAGAGCTTTTGCACAGCAAAGGAAACGATGGAGTTAAGAGACAGCTCACAGGAGTACATATTTGCAAGCTATATATTTCAGTTTTGTTTTTTTTTTTTTCGAGATGGAGTTTCATTCTTGCCCCCAGGCTAGAGTGCAGTGGTTTGATCTCAGCTCACTGCAACATCCACCTCCCTGGTTCAAGAGATTCTTCTGCCTCAGCCTCTCCAGTAGCTGGGATACAGGCGCGTGCCACCACGCCCAGCTAATTTTTGGATTTTTAGTAGAGACAGGGTTTCACCATGTTGGCCAGGCTGGTCTCGAACTCCTGACTTCAGGTGATCCCCTTGCCTTGGCCTCTCCAAGTGCTAGGATTACATGCATGAACCACTGTGCCCAGCCAAACTGTACATTTCATAAGAGATTAATGTCCAAAATACATAAGGCACTGAAGCAACTCAATAGCAAAAACAGATAACCTGATTTTTAAAATTGGCAAATGATCTGATAGACATTTTGCAAAAGAAGCTATATGAAGGGCCAACATCACTGATGTTGATATGATGCTCAACATCACTAATCATCAGAGAGATCACTTCTTGGCCTTTTGGCTAAGATCAAGTAATCATCAGAGAATGCAAATCAAAACCACAATGAGCTATCATGTCCAGCTAGAAGGACTTTTATTAAAAAGACAAAAGATAACAAGTGATGTAAAGGATGTGGAAAAGGGATTCCTTACATAGTATGGGTGGGAATATAAATCAATATAGCCGTTATGAAAAAAATTATGGAGGTTCCTAAAAAAGTAAAAACAGTACTATGTTTTAACATAGTATGATCTAACAATTCCACTACTGGGTAAATAACCAGAGGAAATCATTATGTTAAACAGATATCTGATTTCCTATGTTTACAGCAACACTATTCACAGTGCAATCAGTCTAAGTGTCTATCAACAGATGAATGGATAAACGGAATGTGCTATATATATACAATAGAATACTACTCAGCCATTAAAAAACATTGAAATACCATCATTAATGACAATTAAAAGGGAAATGAAACTTAAAAAAACAGAAAACAAAATGTATGTCTCATGAAGGCATTGTAGACTTTCTTTATTTTTTGTAGTTCCACATTTATGTCTGTTCTAATTCTGCTCCTCAGGCTTTGTAGGTGTGTGTTTCTTAGAAGATTCTGTCCTGTCTTTCTTGCTTTTAACACTCACTGTCATAATGCTCTCCCTCACTCCCATAATTTCAACTCTGTGGATGATTCCCAAATGTATCTCCTTCAAACTGACATCTGTTTGAGCTCCAAGGGTTGCATTTCCAGGTGCCTGTCAGATACCTTAAACTCAACCAAACTTGTTAGTAATATTTTATACCCTCCTAGAGCAGCTCAGTCTACTGACTTCTGATGTGAAAACTCATGATTTTTTTACTCCTTCCTCTCTTTTACCTTGCCCTTCCAAGCTTTAGTAATTGTCAGGTATTTCTTTGAAATGTTATTTTTATCTTTTTTTGTTCATTCCCACATCATTTGCTTCTGCAGTATTTAATAAACACATATTAATTTTTCTATTTCTCTTTTAGTACTTTTTCATTTTTACTTAATTTTAGTAGCTTTGTGGAGATACAGTTTACATGCACAAAATTCACCCAAGGTAATGCAGTTTAATTAATTTTGTAAATGTAATGTAGAGAGTGATGTAACAGCCATCAATACCATCTAGTTTTGTGACATTTTCTTCAACGCATAAAATGCTCTTGTATCCATTTGTAGTTCTTTCTTATGCTCACCTTCAGCTTCAAGTAACCACTGATCTGCTTTTTATTTCTATAGATTTGCTTTTTCTAGAAATTTTATATAAATGGAAGTGTGTAATATATAGCCTTCTGTGTCTGGCTTTTTTCATTTAGCATAATGTGTTTGACGCTTATTCATATGGAAATATCAGTAGTTTGTTTCTTTTGTATTGCTGAGCAGCATTCCATTGTACAGATCTACTACGTTTACTTTATCCACCAGTTAATGGACATTTGAATTATTTTCAGTTTGTGCTTATTATGAATAATGTGGCTTCAAACACTCCCGTGTAAGTTTTTTGGCACACATAAACTTTCATTTCTCTTTTTTTTTTTTTTTTTTTTT